CGCGCGCAAAATATAAATGTTAGAGATTTTGCCCAAACTTTGGCTGCTTTGCAAAGCTTGCAGTTCAGTCTTAACAAAAAACAAACCTGAAGTCCACTTAATATGGCTCACCTTTGAGCTTAACAGATAACACATGACTCAGTGAGTGAACTAGTGTTGAGCTGAACTGTGGCCAAGCATTGCTGTGTACAGCGTTGGGATTAACATACATCATTCTGTAATAGTTGTGTTTAGCCCAAACATAAAAGCCATACAAGGCTGAAGGCACAACTTTGTAATGACATTAAGTCAAAGTTAACAAAGCACAATTAACTCTAAAGCCACCAAAACCTGTGAGAATGGAGGGATCATAGTCAATATGGCTATAAAAGATCCTGAAAATAATATTCAAGTTTCATTAAACTACAACACTGTACTGCAGTGGCTTCCAGTTAATTGGTCTAATTGAGACTTTGCTTTAAATCATTGACATTTGACATACTCCCACAGATGACGCAAAAGAAATGACAGGATGTTGTCTTTGTCTTGTGTATTGAGGTGGCAGGGGGACCCAAAAATAAAAAGAAAAAAAAAGAAAAGAAAAGAAAGAAATGCACTACACTCTACAGTCAAGGCATGACAATGATTAATTATGAGGCAATGTGTGTTATATCATGTCCAGGGAAACTGTGTGCATGTGAATATACAGTCTACATGACAGAAACAACTGTATGTGCGCTTTCCAGCAGGAAAAGCCATTTCTTACTCCCATCTATCTACAAAGTCTCTTCCTTTACCCCGCCCTCCCCGACCCAAGAAGTCTCTGAAAACCTACAAATGTCCAATCCTGGTCCGTTACCTACGGAGCTGCTCTAGTCTGGCTTTCAGCTTTTCCTGTTTGGCTTTAAGTTTGTCTTTCCTGGTTTGCAGTCTGTGGGACTCATCCTCTAAACTATAAATACAGTCTCTGGCTTTCTTCAAGATCACCACCTTAGATGCTTTGTCATTGTGCGACAACTCAGGCACGTTGTCACGCAAGCGCATGAAACAGTTCTTTAGCTCGTTTCGGCGTTGCCTCTCCATCACATTGTGAGTCTTTCTCCGCTCCTCCTCATCCTCCGTCTCTGTTGAGTTTCGGGATGAGTGACGCGATGAGGTTGATGAAGAAGAACTGCGTGAAAGGCAGTGGAAGCGTGACGGGCCATCGCTCCCTCGTGCACGCTTGTTTGATGGCGGCGGTGATGCAGGGCAGGGAGCAGCATAGTTGTGCTGTAGCTGGATTTCAAAGCGGTATCGCTGCCGAGCACGTTGTTCCTCTTCTTGCTTCTGCTGACGTTCAGCCAATGTAGGCTCAGGGGAGGAACTTGAGGAACAGCGGACCACAGTCACCACATCAATTTCCTCCTCTGTAAGAAAAAATAAATAAATAAATTAGAGTAGTTCTTTGGCCCCCCATGACCATGTCATAATCTTGGTGGGTTGTGGCACAACTTTTAAAAGGACACACCGTATAGACTGCACAAAGCCCACCGAAGGACACCAGTCAGTTGTGAAAATCTAACTTGAAATAGTTAAAAGTTTACAACATCCACAAAGAATTCCAGTGGAATTACCAAATCACAACAAGCTATCATATCCTAAGAGATAGTAACCACTGAAAAACTAATATAAATGCCAATCTGCCATCTCCGTTCTAGCCCAGAGATGCTGCAGGGCTTAAGGCAGTAAAATGACTCATTAAAAGCGTAATAGATTGAGCCACAACTCTCACTGCTAAACATGAGTCACACACACATTTCTCTTAAAACCCCTAATCTACTTAATGTCACTCAACATCTTAAACCTCACCCACACCTTAATAACACACTTCTGCCATTAAGGCTTCTGCAGATTAAAGGTGGGTGCTGCTGTCTTGATAAGCTGAACACAGAACAGTTTGGGCTTAGTGCCAGTAAACATTAACAGAATTGTCAATGAAATGCCAGTGAGGCTGTTCTGGGTGTGGGTGTTTATACTGATAAGCACTGCAACAACAAAGCAGGACTGGGATTAAAGTAAGAGTTGATCATCAGCACTACAACTTAATGAAAACATTCAACTTACCAGAGTCGCTAGATGAATATGTGGACAGCTCGCCACCAACTGATCCGTAGTCGGATGTGGCTTCACTGGGCTCCGGAGCTTCCATAAGGCTCTGGCAGTCAAGTGTGGAGCCGGCGATCTCCTCAAAGATGCGGGTATCAATGTCAGATAGTACGGGGCTGCAACCGAGTAGTGAGGAGACAAGCTTCTCCTCAGCTGCCAGGCACTGCCAGAGGCAGTCCTCAGCTTCCTCAGAGCAGGGCTGGTTAAGCTCGCCTTCTTTCTCAGCATCAGAGTGGAAGAAGTCACACTGCCAGTTGAGCTGCATGTCATGGTCCTCCAGTAGAATATCCGACACGTAGCTGAGCTGGTCCTCCTTGGACAGAGGCTTATCACCACCCAGCCCAGACTTCATGGGGGGCGACTGCGGAGGTGTCGGTAATGCCTGGAGGTCTTTCATCAGGCTTTGGCAGAACTCGTCATCAAAGAGCAGCGGCTCTGAACAAAACCAGTCCTGCGACTGAGTGAAACTTTCCAACATGTTTGAAATCTGTGACAACGACAACAAAAAACGGTATAAATTAAAAATCTAAGAGGTAGTGGAGCTTATAAAGTTAAAATCCAGAGAAGCTAATCCAGTAGTGTCTTTACAGCAGCGCAGAGTCAGCGTCTATTGGGTTAATCCCAGCAGCAGCAACACCTGTTGTAGTGATAGTTTTAACCTGTTCCTCTAGACTGAGTCCCCAACCTGCAGGCTCTACCTTTTTATCTGTGTTTACATCACTATAACCCCGCCCCTCTGCTCCTGGGGAGGCCCTTAAGCCCCCCCCTCCTCCTCAAAAAAATACCCCCTACCCATGACATCACAGGAACAGCTGGGACACACAGAAACTTTACACCTCTTTCCACCATTTACATTGTTCCTACTCAGAATAATAAAACACTCGCAAATTAAGTCAGGCTGACTGCTGACACAGAAAACAATACTCTGAGTCTAAAGGAATGGGTGCGTTGCATTTGCTACGATACTTAGGCAGCTTGCTGCTGTTAAACACAAATACAAAAAAACCTCAGCTTTCTGGCACAACACAAAGGACAGTTTCCCCAACTCTGTTCAGAAATACACTATTAAGCACACACACACGCAAAAACATGCATGGGACACTAAATGTTGATTTTCTACTCAATTAGAAGCCACTCCCAAAAGCTTTAACAACAAAAGCTTTAAAAAAAAAGTTTCACTGAAAACAAAAAAAACAAAAAAACAAAAATGAGCATTTCTCATTTAACCAAGGTCGTTTCAGCTGGAACAGCCTGACCTATGGTCCTATTTGGGGGAGGGGGAACTCTTATAATCCTCCTGTGGGGTCGTATGGTATGTGCATGTATAGCAGGCAGTGTGGGAGAACAAAAGCAGCAGTGTGTGTCCGGGAGTTAAAGGCTGCCTTTCTTTACCATCACGGCCTGGGAAAAGCTGAGCTACAACTTAAATGCAGAGCGCAGACAACGATTACTCAGCAATATTAAATACATTCTACACTTCCCTCTCTCTTAACGTATCCAAAATATCTCTTGCACGAAAGAAGGACTTCGACCAAAAATACTTGAGACCAAGCACAGCTGGAATGTGAAAACAGAAGAGCACGAATTTCCTTAAGTTTTTGAACGCATCTGCTGTTAGGTCGTCCTGCCGTCATGCATCTGCAGAATCTATTGTGCAATGATTCATTTAACCAAATTCACTAAGGTGACACACTAGAAAAATAGAATATAAATAACTACACGGAGTCTAAGAATGAATCTCCGTAAGAAAAGTAAAAGTCAACCGTTCGTAAAAGCACAAATTCCGTAAAAGGATTTAAAGGTTAACCGGCGTTGACGGTCATTTAAACCCCGCATGCGTTAAACAGCGCCGGGACCCCACGTGAAACCGGCAGTCATTTTTTCCTCTTTGAAGCACCGCTAAGGTACACCAAAAGAGAAAAAAATACAAAGAAATGCACAAAACCCCCATTCTCACATGCGTGCAATGAGGTTTCTGATAAAACAGCTGTCTTACCTTCAACTGTCCTTACAGGAGAGTGCACTCAAAACAAAGACAAAAAGTAGAAATGCCCTATTTATCCAGCAAAGTCCACAGCGAGACAAAAACGACTAGAAAATCCTGCCCAAGTGAAACTTTCTGCGTGTAAAATTGAAGTTTGTGCAGGGCAGCATTTCGGGTGTATCCTGCTTTTTCTTCTCTCCTCCGCCGCTTGTATCAGCCAGAGTAGGTGTGGCTGCAGCGGTCACTGAGTTTAATACAGGGCGTACGGCGCGATCCTTCCGCCGCCGCTAAACTCGCGCCAAAACATAATAGCCAACAAAGTGTCGTTAACGGCAATCATATCCACCGCTGATATAACCGCAGTCGGTTTCTCTTTTGATTAAGTCCACGCGGAAAAAAAGGGGGTGACGGCAATTTGGTTTAATTGCACACTGAAGCCGGGACTATGCGCGGAGTGATACATACGCTTGCTTGATTTCCAGGAATACGGTGGCGGGTAAAGTTGGGAAGAAACACACGTGGACTGAGAAAAAGCCGGGTATCTAACTGCTCACTGCCTGCCTACTTTTCTCATTCTCGCCTTAAGGCGTCATTTGAAAGCTACAACAGTTAAGCCAATATAAAACCATTTAAACAGTGATTTTTTGACAGTCTAAATGATAAAACAGTCAAGTGAACCACACTTGAGGTGTTAAAATGAACATTTTTATTATTATTTTTAATTATATATTTCAGAGATTAAAATGAGTAACACATACATCTCACTCATTACTGGAGAATGTAGAGGATACGCTCACGCATTTTACGGGTTAACACTTAAGGGGTTTATACCGCGTTTCCTCCCCCTCTTTGTCCCTTTAATTGTAATATGAGAAGGGGAGACAGGCTGACATACAGATGGACTGAGTGCTCTCAGAGCCACGTTATCCTCCAAATCCAACTCTTGCGAGAGTGTTTCACCATCCACCCCTCCCCCTCTACTACTACTACTACTACTACAAACTAAAGGACCTAAAGCGTCATCATATCACCTACTCCACTTTAGGCTTATGCACAATTAAACATTTCAAACACGAAAATGTATATTTTACAGTCCTTTTTATTCTTCAGAAAATGCTAATGTTTATTTATCTATGATGTAGTTTTTGTATATTTTGTTGCAGAATAAATTCAAACAAAACGGAACGAACAAACACAACATATGCACATTTTACTGTTTCCTCCATTATTTCCTAACTGATCGTTTACAGATCCTTCCTTGTAATAAATTATCTTCCAGTCGTCCCACTCGGACACTGTAGCCCTCCATCCAGTGAGTCCCTTGCGCTGCTCCACTTACGTAACCGTCAAGGATTTTGCCGGTACACGTGCAGACACGTCGGCCAATCAGATTGCCAGTTAGCCTGTTCACGTGAGTTCTTAGCAAAGTCCAAGGAACACTGTAAGGAAATCTTATACCAACCCCTTTCTATAAATTAAATTAAACCCAACACACGTGCCAATGATTTTAAAATGATCTTTATTACATGCATTAAAAGTGTGTCTGTATCTATTTTTTAAATTACGTATTTACTAAGATGATCATGGCTTATGATATGCATAAGTCTCCACAAAAAAGTCTCTTATTATAAGCTCAAAGACCCCAGCATGTATTCAAACATGTAAAGTAACAGCTCTTCTTCATTCACTGTTATTCACACACTGCTTTTCTGAGCATACTCTGCGTCTTTAGATGTAATCGCAGCCTCCTAGGTGGTCTGCCACATGTAAACTACTTTCTGCTGAGTGTGAAAGTGTACTCTGTGTTTTCACAAGAGGGTGAAGTATTAATATCACACAGACAACAACAGCAAAGCTGCACTGAACTTGCACTAAAGAAGCAATCTGCTGCTCCACATTTTAGAAGATGTTTTTTTTTTTTGGGGGGGGGGGGTTACAGATAGAGATTACGAGAACATTTTGGTACAGCAGCAGTGAACATTCACACAAAGAGCAGGGAGCAGGCTAAATAAGTGGATTAATGTGCCACCTACAGGCCAACTGGCAAACTGACTGGTGGTTGGCCCAGTTTCACCTGAGTATGTTGAACATCTTGACCGAATGACTGGATTCTTCGTTTTCTGACTAATTTCTTAATTCTGGGATTTCCAGATGCTTTCACATGAATCCTCCCTCAAACATCTGCACCACAACATGAAACCTTTGTTAAACTCAGCTGAGATCAGATGATCTTTTGCTATTAGTTATGAGTGAAGTTAAAACAACACTTTAACACATTTACAAACTGCAAAATGTTGCTAAAATCAGAGTAGTTTGAGGTTTGCTTCACAAAACCTCTCAGCATGTGATGTGTTTGCTTTCACTTCTGTTAAACTCCTACACTTTCTAGTCATAGAAGATAGTTATACTTCTGAAAAGTGCTGTAAATAAATCAGAGGACTTTTCTCTAAAGTCACCAGTGGGTAAATTACAGTTTTATGTTAGGTTGAAGTTAGATTGCTGAGTGATGAGGTAAAAGGTTTATCAACTGACTTACTGACTGACAAACCAACTGACCGGCCAGTGAACTGGATGGCATAAGAAAGCTATTAGGACACACACACACAGCCAAAGCCTAGGGGTGTGAGAGAAGGAACCAGGGAATGGGATTAACACTGTGTGTGTTCTCCGCTACGATCTCCTCCTTATTAGGAATATTCATCCGGCAGCATGTATCTGCGCAGACAGAACGGCTGCTGCTGCTTTAATTAGACAGCAAAGCTCATTCACATAGAAGCTGTGCACACTGACGCTGGTGGTTTTCAAAGTGTGTGCTGGAGGGCTGGTTCCTGCTTAGAACTTTCAATAAAATACCCCCCCCCCCTCAAAAAAAAAAAACAACAACAAAAAAAACCAAATCAAACAAAAACAAAAACCCACAAAAAAAACAAACAAACAAACAAAAAAATAAATTTTCTGACTTTTTTTTTTTTACAAACAAGTCCCTTAAATGAACAAATACAGCCAGACCTGCAAAATGGCTTAATCTAGGACACAAAGGGATCCTATGAATGCAATCATAGCAGCAACTGCAAAAATGTGTAACAGTCTAAGACATCTGCAGATTTTTCTATGTGTTCATTAACAGGTTAGAACAGGGTGGGTCACATTTTTTCCAGAGTGTTAGAGATCTGAAAAAGAATCGAACAGAACATGGTTGCAGGTAATAGTGAAACTACACCAAAATATTATCGATCTAAACACTGTAAAGAGCACAGATCTTGCCAGACTTTTTTCTTACAAAACAGGTGATTGATGAAACAAGTTATACTGAAATTTCATTGTCATTGCATGAAGATTACACAGCATATTGCTTCCTCTTATTCAGTCTGGTAGTCATTTTCTTTGCTTTTTAGGCAGTCTGGCTTAAGGCGGTCCAGGGATAGTATCTTTGTCTGAGCTGCAAAGTTTATGCATTAGAAGACCACAAAGATCTATTTGCAGGACACCAACATGCCAATAACCTCCATAATAATAATCCATCCACATTAAAAGCCTTTGATATTAACAAATCCATCTGTTATTACAAAGCTGTGAAATATTAAGGAAATGTAATCATAAGATAAGCACTTGAATGAAATGGAAACAGAATAGGTAGGTTTTTCAGTTTCCATTTTCTCCATTGAAGTGAAACCCTCATGTTAGAGTTGGAGAAGGGCTAGGATGTCTCATATCTACCATACTGCTTTGCTTAGAAACCCTGCTGCTGCAAGCATGACTCCCCATGGAGTAAGGTTCATCTGGGAGGGGGGGGGGGGGGGGGGGGGGGGGTCTAGGGGACCGATTGGAATTTGGCTGTTGGCAGCCAATTGTTCCTCTCGGTGGGGACAGCACTAGAAAAGCCCCACTTTATCTATGGATTTCTGTCAATTCCATGATAAAGGCTGACATGCAAAAAGAGTTTTAGATTAAACATGACATGACACCTAAATGAAGTAATTTCAGTTGCCATTAAGAGTTCTGTCAGAGGTCACTAATAAAATACTGACCTATGGGGCAAGGTAACTAATGAAATAGTAAATGACATTTGAATGGCATCAGTGTCTAAAATGCATTAAAAAAGGAAGTTGTGTCATCTTACAGGTCTCATACAGAAACAACCTTGACCTTTTCAGTGATGTAGAAATTGAAGTAATGAACCAAGAATCTGCTGCACAACAATTTGTCAGTGTATAAAGCGGAATAAAACAAACAAACAAATCTCCAGTGTGTCCTTTGTTTTGTTAATTTAACAGAAGCTATATGGTCTGAGATGCATCTTTAATAGAACCTTCAAAAGCTTTGAAACATTCAAGTTCCCAGATGCCAAAGAGTCATTTAAATTTTCCTCTTTTGGAAGTAAAATCCTTTCTCACAACATCGCCTCACGTTGTATGATTACTCTGCTGAATTTGAAATTCAGACACGTCACATATCTAGTTATTCCGAGTGAGTGAAATGAAAACATCCACGTCATGACTGTGATCTTTCTAATAATGGTGGTTTTTCTTATTTTTAAAAACATTTTGGGACAAAAGTTGTTATTGTTGCATGAACGGTAGCCCCTAGCAGAATTTTTCGATAGTCATCTTAAAACCAGAACTCATTCATTATGGAATTTTAATGCTTTGAAAGACATCATCATGCTGTGCCATTTTTACTTCTTAATTTAAACCCTTGGGGGTTCGTAAAAGCCCCCACATATATTACTGATGATGTCATGTAATTAAAGTGAGGGTGTTTGCTGACATTTTGGAAAGACAGTTTCTCCTGATAGCTAAAACCTGTAAATTGCTGCTGGTGGACCCTGAGGATCCTTTCAGATAAGCTAAAATAAGAGCATAATTGTACTCTTTTTTTAGCTGCCTCTAAGGATTTTTGGGGGTTGGCAGGGTGGTGGTTAAGGGCTGCGGACCAAAACAGTGGGGGGAGGAAAAGATGAAGAGGAGAAACAGATCCCTGACCCATCTAATAAGGCCAGCTTGTTTTTGTCACTTACAGATGAACTGCTTGTCTTTTACACCTCAGGCTCTGTTGACAGTTTAAACAGACTTCTACTACATATTTTTAAAAAATGGATGAAAATCTCCTTTGGACTCCGGCCTGCTTTGTAAAGTCTGATGCAACCTCTGTCAGCAACAATTGACGTTATCCTGTTTATCATTACAACTATAGAGTTCCATATTAGCCTCATATCCTGAATATTGTCCACACTGGGACAGTCATCGTATCCAGGATACTTCAGGTAAATGCACCTTACTACAAGGGAAACTTTGTCACCTTCTTTACCAGAAGAAAGAAAAAAAGAGGAAATGTTCCAAAATTAGAAAC